TTATTTACTGTATGTATATTTGCCTATACAGCATCACCTTTATTTTATATATATATATATATATATATACTGTATCTTTTGCTGTCGTTTCCCTTTATATATAATCTTGATTCAGAAATAAAAGACTGAATGAATGAACGATTAATTGTCTATTTTGTATGCACACAATTATGTTGTGTGCAGGACTGTAATATTCCATGTTAGATTATTGTTTTGCCAGGACCCATTGATTTCTATAGCAAGAAATTTATTTTTCAAATCTTTTTTTCAAAAGTCATGTTTTGATGTAGAAATTTTTTTTAAATGGACAGAAAGTTATGGTTCTTATTAGGAATTAATATTACTTTATGTAAGAACAGATTAAAAACACACCTTTTCAGCATTGCATTTCAGTCTCTTTCACATCTCCTTTAGATTACATAATTTTATTTTGGAATTTTTTGAAGATAGAAAAGTCAGATGCCAGTATCATTTCTGAGCCTGTAAACTACGCTTGTCAGTGTATTTAAACTACATGAGAAAGGTGCATTGATCGTGGTTCCTTTCCTATATTTTTAATATATCACTCAGTAGTGACCTCAGTATTATGTGCTATATAAATCCCAATACAAACATAAATACATACATATAGTTAGAACTGATAATTACTGTGAAACTTGATTGAATATATTTTGTTTGATTTACAGTTGTTGAGCCGTTGACAATTCTTGGAATGGCGTACCTGTCATACATTATGGCCGAGCTTTTCCACTGGTCTGGCATCATTGGGTTAGTCTGACACCATTTTTATCCATCACTCGCAGTGGCAGTGCTATTGGGGGGTCCAGGGGGAACAGGACCCCATGGGGGAGTCATGGACTCATGGTTGGGGAAGCAGCTAATCATTTTATTGGGGAAACTTCTTTGCAAATGAATTTTACTGAGAATGCCACTTTTGGGCATCTAGAGGAGTCCTTGCACCAATTGATTCCTTGATCACTGGTGGATCCAGAAATTCAAAATAGAGGCCCGGAGGTACTTTCACAGAGGGAGGATCCATACTACCTCAGCCCCACGATGGATGGGGCTTAGGTAAGAAAATTTTTTGCTTATGGCACCTCTAGATTGCCGGAAATTACACTCTCAGACTTAAAATTTAAATATAATATCGCCATATTTTAGAAACCCCGTCAAATCCACCACTGATGATGTTGTTGGCCCACTGAAATTTGGTCAAACCTGTCAATGTTTACTTATAAACAAAAACTGTATAGTACAGTACATCTTTTATAATATGTTTTATGTAATGGTGTATGAAATATAATCAATATTTTGTTTGGTTGCAGCATCATTGGTTGTGGTCTTGTTCAGTGTGAATATGCATTTGGCAACATTTCCAGAAAGTCCAACATTACAGTCAAGTATTTCATAAAGGTTTTGTCGTAAGTAGAAGTTGAATGCGTATTATATATGCAACCCCAACCCTACAGTATGCCAGCAAAGGGGGTTAAAATACTAAAAATGACCAATAAGTTCTCATTGGAATAATAGGAGGAATTTAGTTCTCAATTCCAAAAACCAGCCTTCACCTCTCATATACAACAGGGGAACAGTATATGGGTGAAAAATTGGCCGCTATACTAATAAAATAGAGATTTGAAAATTTAGCAGGAAAATATTAAATCATCTATTCTTTACATTTTTCTCATTGAAAGCTGTACAAGATATTTTAAGAAAATCGTCATATCTAAATTCATGGGATACCAAAGTTGACTACTCTATATTGTAACAGGCTGTATAATTTTGGTAATGATTTAAAATTCAAACATTCACTTTTTGGTGACATTAAATTAATAATCATTGAAAAACAATACTCATGGAGCTACTGGCAGTATTGAATGGCGTGTTGTCACATAATCCTTTCTGATTTCTTCGCAGAATGACAAGCGAGTCAATAATCTTTTTTAGTTTGGGTCAGACTATGTGGGATAATGAGATGGTGTGGAATTCAGGCTTCATCCTCTTAACACTTGTGTTTTGCTTTATATTTAGGTGTTTTAGTAAGTACTGTTGAGACTACCAACTGTAGTGCACATAAGTAATAAAATATAAATTTGTATTGCCTACCCCGACCGACCTAGAATTTTAACTTATTTTTATAATAAGTAATTAATTCATAATAAATTATACTATAAATTAATAATATTAATATAATTTTTTTTTAATTATTGAAAGTTGTCAAACCATGTATTTTAATTACATTGTTTGTGTTTTTAAATACAGGTGTTACACTTCTAACAAACATCTCCAACATGAATCGAATTATAAAAATCAACATGGAAGAACAGTTCATTATGGTATGTACTGTGGTTGCATTTTGATGGTAGAGGTAGATGACTGACCCATAACTTGCAGCGTCATTGTGCTGAATTGCGTATGGGCGTGGTCTGTGACTACCTAGCAGCCGTAAAGAGGCACTTCATGTTAGCTACATGTTCGCATAATTCCACGACAGGGGCTGAAATAAACCATAACATTAGGGTAAACCCCCTACTCTTCCGAAAGATGCAATGGGTTCTTTAAAGTGCACACGAGCTAGATGTATACACTGGACCTCCATTTTAAGTCCTTATCCGAGAAGACTTGGTTTTACCAACCATACCATGGACAAGGAGTGGTTGGAACCAGCGCCGATGTTAAGGCTGTAGCTAGCGGCTCTCCTGCCTCAGCGCTCACCCATTCAATTAATGTATAATATTAGAATGATCTTGCCAAAAAAAGCCATGAGTTTAAACACTATTGAAGGTTGAGAATCGGAATTAATTCACAAAAGACACAATATTTTGGAAAGTGTGTATGAAATTTATACTTAAACCTAGATATGTTGTGAGAGCAGCTTAAATCAGTTGGCCACTGTCTGTGCACTGAACTGTGGAGATTTCTATGTCCCCTGTTCAATTCCCATCACTTCTGTCTTTGTGTGTCGGCTAGATACAGTAGCTGAATTGCAAGTTTCAATAGTCTTTCGGATAAGAGGTTTAAGCCGTTGGTCCTGTGTGCAATATGGCCCATGTGCATGTTAAAGAATGCAGTACACTCTGTGGAAAAGAGGGTTGTCTCCCGGTGTACCGCCCAATTGCCACCAGACAGTTTGCAAAATCTTCAACAAGATGAAGATGGCAACTAACCGGGAGAAGTCGTCATTGAAAAGAAACTGAACAGGGACTCTGTCGCACTTTTTTTGTACTTTTAAGAAATTTGTTGAGTTGATATTACCTAAAAGCGGTGAATGAAAAAAAAATGTACTTTAAAATTAATAAATTAGGCATATATATACGTAACTATCCAACTACATATTCTACATTTATGATGAAATCATAGTGGCGTGTAAATGAAAAAAATCTGAGAGAAAATTTGTATGAAGGCTAATACTGAAAGTCCTGTTGTAATTGAATTGTAATATAAATTTTACTGTAAAGATATAAGTTCATTGCAATTTTAATACAAGTATATTATACCTGCCAACTCTCATGCATAATGTGCGAGTCTCACATATGAGCATCCACATTTTATGTCTCAAGCCAATGTTGTATTATCTTGCGCACCTAAAAATGTTTTAAAAGATGCATAAGCCGATTATACCCTAAAATTCATTTAAAATGATATGAATTCATCATTAAAATGTGAATAAAGGCCATATAAATTTGTTAATGAAGCGTTACCAACCTGACGACTGTAATCAATAGCAGCGTAGCAGTTTGATTACTGCAATAAAAAAAAAAATAACATAAAGCGCGCTCTATTTTGTGATTTTTACATAGGGGGCACTATATAAAAATTAAGTTTTTGTCTTAGGCATCGGATGCCAGCAAAGTTGGTGGGTGTAGTATATATATATTCTTTAGAAATGCAGGATAGTTATGATAGGAAATGTCTAAATGTAGTGTTGTTTTATTGTATCTATTTTAAGGCTTACGGTGGTCTTCGTGGAGCAGTGGCCTATGCTTTGGTAATTCAGCTGCGTACTGGTAATGAAGAACTTGATCGATTATTTATTACTTGTACACTAGCAGTTGTTTTTGCCACTGTATTTATACAAGTAAGTATCAAAAATTATTAATATCTATAAAGTACAAGTATGACAGGGCTGCATTGGATAGAAGTCTTATGAATTTTATAACACGGCTGTATTGCTAACACAATATATCTTTATTTATCAATTTTATGAACCTATAACTATTTCAAGGTAATTGTAGAAATACCAAGTTGGTATTGGGCAAGGAGTAGTTTTACCGCAATTTAAAGTATTTTAGTATGGTAATTTACCTAATGCAGGAAAATACGTATCTGGATTTCTTTTTTGAGGGGCGTGATCCCTCTTGTCCCCTTTCTGGACATCAAATAATAAAATTTTCCTGAGAGAACACTGAAAAATTTTCACTCCAGTCACCTCATTGGGCCCTCACAGTGCCTCATCGGGCCTTCACTAGCCCCTCACCTCCCATGTGAAGACATGGCTATATGCCTGCCCTTATATAATATATAATCATTTTGACATATATTATATGTCAAAATGATTATAAAAACACATAATTAATCGTGTATTAATTGTTTCTTAGTGTTGTGTTACAGTGCAGAGTATGTTCAACCAACCTTTTCTATTAAATTTTGTATTTACAGGGCTTAACAATCAAGCCGTTTGTGAACTTCTTCCGAATTCGTAAGCAGGAAACACAGAAGCCAACGATGTGCGATGAGGTTAATCGCAGGGTAAAAAATATTTTCAATTTTGATAATATCTAACATATAATATTAAAAAAAAGATGAACCATCAATTAAATGAGCCAAAATGAAATGAGAAAGAAGGCAGTGCAATAAATTGAATGTTGAGCAAGAATAAAATGAATTACTTTTGTAGTTTTCTTTTTATTTTATTTTTTATTGTTATTGTTTTGTCATTGTTATTATTATTATTATTGTTTTAATTTTATTGTTCTTTTTTTCAATTATTGTGAAGATGAAGATGACAGATCAACATTGAAGCCTTATTTTTCATCGAAGATGTGAGAAAATTAATGTATAAATATTTTTTTTGTATTTTGTATAGGTAATTGATTTCATGATGGCAGGTATTGAAGAAGTTACTGGTCAAAAGGGTGGTAATTATTTAAGGGTAAGTTAATTGTTTACACTTCAAGATGGTTTGGTGGTTAAGACACCTGACTTTCAATGCCAAAGTCTTAGGTTCTAATCCTAAATGAGATTTTATTTTCTTAAGAATAAAACACAGCCCTGCTATTAAGCCTCTTGAAAGTTCTAATTAAACAAAAATATTGAAAATATGATTAACTAATGTAGCACCTAGTTTATCATGGATTTAATGTAGATGTATAAATAGTATTGAGCTTAAGAATTTTGAGGTCGTCATGACTCAAATGCTAAAATTTATAATGACTAATCTGTATTTATGATACCTATTCACTGCCGTATCTCTCCAGTAGCGAGTTAATAATAATACAAATTATAAATATGATAACAATAATGATAAATAAATAAATGAAATTTACCTTTCTAAGATAGTTTTGCATTCTATTTATATTGTAATATACTATTTGAAATTAAATAAGTAATAATACTTTCAATACTGTATATAAAACAAATTTATTTCACCTTTAATCACCAACTTCTATGGACAGGAGTATCTGTATCTAATCCAGTATTTATAAATGCACAGGTAAAATTGGAATATTATGATGAAAAATATCTGAAGAGATGGCTTCAAAGAAATCCTGAAACAAGGGAAGCTCATATGATGGCGCTGTTTGAAGAAATAGCTCTAAAGTAAGTATAATCGCTATTACGTCATCTTTGTCTCCTCTTATTTGTAAGCATTTTTCTTGGGCCCTATTATTTCACCAAACCCATTTTTTTGAACCACCCCCCCTCCCCCCGCCCCAATAAGCGAAACCACTCCCTCTAAACGAATGATGAAGAAATTATAAATTTATATACTACAATGATTTCTCAGCCACAAGGGGCTGACCACAACATGAGAGCTCCTTTTAATTGCAAGAGGATTATGCACCCCATGCATCTCTGACTTCCATTGGAAACTCCTCAGGAAACTCTCCAGGAAACTCTCCAGGAAACTACCCCTCAAAGATTCCTAGTTATGGGCCTGAATTGTTGTCATGTTTGTTATTATTACTGCTATACTGCTATTGCTATTAGTTATTGTTGTTTGCAAGGCGTATCATAAATTAAAAAAATAATTATACTTTTGGTAGACCATTTGTAAGCGTATGTTTTTTGAGAAAAAAACCACTGGTTGGTTATCTCAATATTAAGTGGAGATTGCTGTGACCCTCATCAAGAGAAAGATCACTTTTGTTAGCCTGAAATATAATAGAGAATGTTGATTCTTGGCGATTCATTGTTTATGTAAAAACAAAGATGATTATTTTATTATATGTTATTGTTATTGCTATTACTATTGTTATTTATTATTTAATTATTTTGTTACATTTTAGGGACCACAGAGAGCATATTTACGACATTGCTAAAGCTCCACTGGAAATAGAAGGGGCATGCCTTATAAAAAGAGTTTGTACATTGGAACGAGCAATATCAGTTGATTGTGGAGAACTTGGTAATTATAATATTATTCATTATGTCAAGTGAGAATCCTCAATGGCCACACATGCAATTAGGGTAGAGGCCTAAAAAGGATAAAGCTCTCCAACCAGTTAACAAATGCATATAAATAGCAGATGCGGATTTTCCGTAGTGTTAGAAACTTTCGGAAAGCGCCACCAGCGTCTAGAAACAGTATAGTAGGAACACTGTTGGTGCAATGAAGTTTTATGGAATGCCATTGGTGCCAAAATAAATTATTTTTCACTGATTAAGACAAAGTCTATTTCGTGAATACTTACCTGGATAAACCGACTAATTGCCATTGTTCCCAAAATGGAACACCCCTTCAAAAAAAATAGAACAGTCCGACCCAGGGTGCCAAGTGCGAACAGTCACCTTAACAGAGGTCCTCATTGTCTATTCGACGGTGTTCGCTTAAGGAGCTCCCCTTTGTAATAAAGGATTACCTACGTTTAGCCATGTGCTCTATGATCAAGATTGTGTTTAATTTCTTGGAAGATGTTTCTTGGATATACATTTATTTCTTGGATTTTATTTAAGTTTTTTCGACATCCTTTGTTTTAGCTTTTGATTTAGTAGTCTGTTAGCATCGCTATGTTTGTGCGCAAATCTCTGTGCTAGGCATGTGGAGGGCCCAAACTGAGTGTTTAGCTCAATAAACACTCGGAGTGCCCTTTGTGTCATACGTGTAGCAAGGCGGAACCTTGCAAGATTTGCATGTCCAGTCTAATATGGGGCCAATGAGGTCTCATATTTCTTATGTTAATATGTGGGGGCCATCTATTAATAATACGATTAATAATGTTATTCTTGTTTGGTCATCTAATAATATTACGATTAATAATGTGATTCTTGTTTCAGAACTGGAACCAAAACGATATGAGGCTTATCGGCCAATCAAAGGAAATTTCTCAACAGATGATCTTCGCAAACTTTGGAGGAACAATCCATCAATATCGGTAAGCATATCATTTGCTGTTCAGTCCATGAATTAGTAACAACAATTACCTAGGTAGACAAACTAAAAATGAACTGACCTTCGTGGGGTCAGGTTCTTTAGCGTATTACCCTAGCTGTGAGTTAATAACAAAGATTACCTATGATAGTAATTGTTATTGTCGTGATTGAATAGACAATAACTGGATTTGCGTCAGGAGAAACATGTATAGGTGTGATTTTTGCCCTACCTGACGTGAAATGTACTGAATTTTTTTTTTTCTATTTTAAATTGTAATTGAATTGTGTTTCTTAACCTTTTATATGTAATTGTATATTGAATTTCTTACCTTTTATTGCAGTGTATAAATGAAGAATTTCTGATGTATTTATTTTAAATATATTAGACCAATAAAGATAAAGAATACTCAATACGTTTGAAAGCAATTGCGAAAAAAAATCGCAAGTTGTTCTCGGGTAGGACTCCACGATCTCCAGATCACTAGCCTTGCATCATACCTCTAGACCACTAAGCTTGCGCCTGATGGCCAAGGTTGAATTCGAGTCCAAGTAAGCAGAGGGTACTGCAGTGTTGATAGTAAATCACACCTATAAAAGATTAACTATGTCTACATATCCACCTTACTTGAAGGTCTTGGGTTTGAATCCTGGTTGACGAAACTTTTTGTACACTTGCAGGTTCCTCTTAACTTTCAGTATATATATGTTATATGTATATATTCTCTTGTTTGTATTCTTACAACCTTACAGCTATTTAGCCAATGTAAATTATTATTATTATTATTATTATTATTATTATTATTATTATTATTATTATCATTATTCTCCTGAAGAAATGTTGAGACATTCTCAACATGAGACATTCTAAAAAAAAACAACAGTTCTTTTCGGAACTTTCTATGCGATGTACTGCAAACATTAAATATCAGTACATCATTGATTTACATAAAATTATTTTTTTCAGATGCACTTACCTTATGACAAGAATTTAACACAAGATGACGACCAGGACTTAGCAGTACAACTAAGACAAAGGAAGAATCTCTACATGGAGGTCAAAAAACGACATTCCTCCATGAGTCGCCAATCAGCAATTGACGAAGTTCCTGATGAGGAAGAAGATGAAGGGGGAATTGTTATGAAATTTGAGCCCACTATAAAAGAGGAGTCTGAGGTTGATGGTCCTAGTGAAACAATGGCACTCATGATGCCAACTGATGATTCTCTAGGCCAATCAGAAGGCCCTGATGTCTTTGAATCTAAGATATAGCTACTGTAAACAGTGGCGTATCTAGGAGTCTTGTAAGTGGGGGGGGGCAGGTAATTGATGGGGGACGTAAAGATGAAGCGAGGGGAGCTCGATGATTAGATGAGCTGGGCGATAGCTTGCAAAAATAAGGTATTTTTTAACTATTTAAGCACAACTTTTTTGTTTAAAACATTTTCAATGAGAGAGTGGGGAGTATTTTTTTGGAAAAGGGTAGTGCAACCCCCCCCCCCACGTGTAACTCTAGGTATGCATCTAACGCAAATTATCAATTAAGCACTGCAATCCTACTGCGTACTTAAAGGCTTCATTTTGGCTTTTGTGTGAAATTGGTGCTTGTTCAAGAGGTGGTACTTATGTAAGATTATTAGCATTTATCAGTGAAAGTTTGTTGGTATATTTGAGGGAGGCGCTGATTTGACCAATTACAGTACAGGCGGGCAAAGTGAGGCATTGAGCCACATTCTGCTCTACAGAAACACATACTTAATTTTAGTTAACTATTATTTAAACTGGTTGACTCATTCAGCAAAATGAATACAGTTAAACTTGCCTAAGTCGACTGTGCCTAAGTCGAATAATTTTTAAGTCGGACTATTATTTAAACTGGTTGACTCATTCAGCAAAATGAATACTGTTAAACTTGCCTAAGTCGACTGTGCCTAAGTCGAATAATTTTTAAGTCGGACTATTATTTAAACTGGTTGACTCATTCAGCAAAATGAATACAGTTAAACTTGCCTAAGTCGACTGTGCCTAAGTCGAATAATTTTTAAGTCGGACTATTATTTAAACTGGTTGACTCATTCAGCAAAATGAATACAGTTAAACTTGCCTAAGTCGACTGTGCCTAAGTCGAATAATTTTTAAGTCGGACTATTATTTAAACTGGTTGACTCATTCAGCAAAATGAATACAGTTAAACTTGCCTAAGTCGACTGTGCCTAAGTCGAATAATTTTTAAGTCGGACTATTATTTAAACTGGTTGACTCATTCAGCAAAATGAATACAGTTAAACTTGCCTAAGTCGACTGTGCCTAAGTCGAATAATTTTTAAGTCGGACTATTATTTAAACTGGTTGACTCATTCAGCAAAATGAATACAGTTAAACTTGCCTAAGTCGACTGTGCCTAAGTCGAATAATTTTTAAGTCGGACTATTATTTAAACTGGTTGACTCATTCAGCAAAATGAATACAGTTAAACTTGCCTAAGTCGACTCTGCCTAAGTCGAATAATTTTTAAGTTGATCTTATTTTACATGCCAAATTGTTTTCCATTAATTAACAATGTCAAAGTCGAATTTTGTTCAACTGTAGTTCAACTGTAGTGCGATTCAGTGGGTTCCAGTATGTCTATTTAATAAGTATATATTATTTATATTAATATATTTAGAGTGTAAAACTCTGAATTAGTGCTTTCCAGGAGCCCTCAATGCAATAAATGTTAAAAAAGCTATTTAAAATTAATACAGTCAAGATACAACAATTTAAGCACTTGCTATACTGTATTATACATTACATATACATATTCAACAAACAGTCCAGTACATAAAAAACAAATTATATTATTTATATTTTACTAACATTAATAAAATTAATAATTATAAGGGCAAGTTGAAGGTTATTTCTAAGTTGGATCTGTACTGGTTTAAAATTGACAAAGGGTAGATATCATTCCTGATGATGACATAATTAATGTCGAAATATTGAATCCCGACACGATGGCGTGCATTTCGATACTTGGAGTATGTATTATACTATCTTATTTGGGTAGATATACCGTGGTCAAATTTTAGTGTTGTTCATAGTTGGATTAAAAGTTTTATAATTGTAAAGGATGATAAATGCAAATTATAATTACAGTATTAAAGAGGCCTTTAATAGCAAAATGTACTGTATAACATGATTATTGATAATGCTATTATTACTACTATAATTGTTGATATTGTTTTTGAGATTTGTAGCATATACCTGAAAGCATATTATAATTATTATTGTGAGCTCGCATTGCAAATCTTTCAAGACTTCTCATTATTGTTATTGAATACAGTATTATGAAATTACCTTCACTGGTATTGTTTTGGAGTTACTGTACTGTGTTTTATTTTATTTAAAACTGATTACCGGATCCTCTGTTATTGTTATTATTTTCTATTTATTCCTTTCTATTATATGTATCATCTTTTAGCAGCAAGGTGTTTTAATAATAGTAATAATAATTATAATCCGAATATTGTTACAGTATTATTTATGCATTTACAGGGGTAGGAACAGTTCATTGTGTTCATAAAATTATAGTGTATCTTTTTTTAAATTAATGAAGTGTGTAAAATCTATGTACTTCACTAATTCTTCTATATTTTTTATACTAGATTCTGCAATTGCAATTTTAATATAATTTTTGGTATGCTTTTTATATTTTTGTTTTCCAGATGCCTTAGTACACTGTATTTGGCATGTTCTTGGCCTTCTTGCTACGTAGTATAGTTTCAAAATAACTAAAAATACAAAAGGGAAAAATATTATTTCAGGGGGATCCAGAGGCAGATTTAAGGAGCCCAACTAACCTGCTGTCCCCGACCCCTAATATTAAAAAAAATTGAAATATAAAAAAGAAAATGATTGTACATTCAAATTTAAATCTGCGAGTGCATTTAAGTGTTATAGCCATAAAATCAACCATGATGGGGCTAAGGTGGTCTGTTTGTAAAATTTTACTCCCTGGGTTGCCCTCAATTCCTGGATCTGTGTCCTACAGTAACACAGATCAATTTCATTGTAGGAGGGAAAATTATATTCTAAGCATACCCTCCTCGTGAAATTTTACTTCAGTGACTTTTCCCACCTTTAATCATCTACTTTAATATGCCTCAAATCCATTTCTTCACTTTCAGCATTTACTTCACCGCACTTTATTATTCCCTGGAGCATCATCAACATGTATTTTAATGCATCTCCTTTACAGCCATGTCTTCACATTTATTAGCATTATATCCTGAAGTATTAACACTCTGTATTTTACTGCATCAACTTACTTCAAGTAGTTACCTCAAGAATAAGACATGAGCTTTATCAGAGTTATGGTAGATAGTTTGGTATTTATTGTTTTTATTATTATTATAAAGAAGTATTAACACCTTGTAGAAATCATGCTTTAATTTCCTATCTTGAACAATTTATAAGATGTATAAATAAGCTGCAATGATTTGTAAATTTTGGATTTGTATGATAAATATTTGTAGTCAAGAGATTATATCAACTTTTTATATATTAATATTTTAATGATGAGTACATTACAGTAATATAGTAGGCCTACTATGTAAATTTTGCACGGTTTATTACAGTAAATACTAACAGAATGCAAAGCGTGGAGATCTAAAGGTGGAAACAGGGGTAAGGGGCATAAACAGGGGTAGGGGCATGTTTTTATTATGAAAAGCCATTCTGAAATGATGCCCTGTCCTCCTTTGCACCTCAATCTGTTCCTGTATGTAGCTTTTTTATATGTTGGGTTTCAACTTTATACAGCTATATCACAAAGTGAAGCAAACTAAATAAATAAATATTTTCAAAAAGTGATATCAGTGTTTTTATTTTATTAAATTGTAATGTAACATTCTTAAGGGTACTAAAATTGACAAAGTTTTGGGTAAAAACACAAGTACAGTTTTCTGTTTGGAATTATCTAGCAGTGGTAAAGCAACTGATCATAGATATTATCAGTTTTTGTACATCACACATGATTCATAGGAAAAATTTAGCATACATCTGCTAAATCTGTCCATGTGAATGCCTGACTGAAAAAAGTAGCACACGTGTAATATCCATGCAAGAAAAACAGACATCAAAGAGGCATGTAAAACTCTTAAGAAGTTTAGCGTGAACACAAGACTCGGGTTACCTTTTACTGTGGTGTCGCACACTGATGCACCAACTTTTACGTGTTGCTCACTCATGTGAAGACGATGGTAACTTGGTAGGGATTTACTGACAAGCCCCATGCAAAGGCTTTTTTGCACTAGGCGAATTCATTTGCATGAATCAAAATTGTCGGTTCGCTTCCTGAGCTCTAATTGGTTGCGCAAACAGTAGAAACAGTTCAAATCCTGAAGAGAAAAACTCCGATAGAAATGTGAATTCCTATGGACCAGCGCTTTTTATTCGCCGAGTGGAAAGCTGCCTTAACATTTTATCCTGTTTGAAGCAGGGGCAGATAGACCATTGCTATACTGCCATCTAACCAGTTAGCCGAACTAACGACGAATATTCTGCATGCTTCTCAGCATCTGTAAAAATAGGTCTACGTTTGCGTTAATTTCGATACATTTGCGTGCGTCGAGCACGCATGACGTCGCCCCCCCAATCTTACATTACCGGGGAGTTCATGCTTGCGTTTCAACACTCAAAGCGGTCTTAGGGAAGACTGTTTTATAGCAATGGTCTTAGAGCAATGACTTTAGCGAGACCATCTAAGTGATAAAGCCGGCTTTATTCGAGGAGTTAAAACTACCAGTTAAGACCATTTTACAGCAATCCACCTCAGGTGTTAGCTGGTTAACCCCTGGCTAAAAAGATAGAAATTTTAAAAGATAGTCAGCACTGAGTTGAGATTGCAATTTCAGCTACAAACTAGATAGGATTTTTATTTCAATAGGCTTATCCCTAAAACAATAAGTAATTGAGGGAGAACCTGGGTAGTTAAATATTTTCAATGACATCGAGGTAGATTACACTATAACAGCCACAGTCTGGGAGATACTATTTCACTAATTTTCAACTCAATCTTGCAGTGATGTTAAATCAAGTGGTTCCACAATGATGTCCGTTACATTTATCTCTGCTGAGGTTTTAATGTTTTGTTGGCAAATGTTTCCAGTTAGCGTTAGAATGTCATTGCTGTCAATCACTCAACAAGCAGTCAGTGACTCATCAAATATTCAATCACTTGTCAAGATGTCAATCAACCATCAACATGTTATATATCATGATTTGTTGCCTGTATCTAGGTATTCCTTGGCTTCATTTATTTTTGCTGCTATATATGGTGAACCACCTGAAAATTAATGTATATGTCTACATGAAAAAACATGAGTATCAATAATTATTAAGTCATATCATTGGTTTTGCCAAACAAACCTTATTAACAATGTAACTATTATTATTCAGTATTGGTAGTAAAGTGTACCATAGTCAAATGAATGATACCAGGAACGTTGGCAGAGGGGACGAATGAAGCAACGGTTGGCATGATTGGTTGGTACTGTGGTGGACATAATTGGTTGGTACTGTAATTTGAAGCTGATAGAAGAATTTGCTCTGGACACAGTAGTTTGAACGGGCTTCTGTTTTGATGCCAAAGGCAGAAAAAATGTTTAAAATTAAGCCTTGAGGCATTATAGTAAATAAAAAAAAGAATGGACCTTTCCCGAGTATCAAACTTACTATCTGACCAATCATAACAGAGCCAGGAATATGCATGTGTCTCACAAATGTATTATTCCACAAACGCATGTTTTTGCATGTTTTTAAATTTTTTTTTTTTGTGGGACCTTGAGAAACAATACCCAAGGGACAGGGCTTAGTTGAAGGTCCATTGCTGACAATTGACCATGATTTCAAAATGTCACTGTGCTTGACCAACACAACTTTATTTGGTCTACTTGTTTTAGTACTACAGTATTAGTTTGCAAAAATTAGCCAGTAAATTTGAAAATTTAGCAGAACAAGTACATTGCTGCTTACCTCTATCAGGATGATTTAACACCATAATCCGACGATGGGCATCTCTTACTTTTGATTTAGTTGCTGAGGGACTGTGAATAATACAAAAATATTCAATGATACATAATTATCATTAATAGTAATGTAATAGTTAATGTTATTAAATGGGTTTGAAAAGAGCATAAGTAGGCAGGGTCAGCCAGAACCCCTTCCTCTCTGGCCCTGGAAAGAAGATTAGCCTAGAAAATTGTTTCCCAGTGTTTTACAGAGCAATTGCTACACCACACTTACTGAATTTCAAAGTCTAGTTCCTTATAGATACAGTACTTGCTTTGTACAGTATAAAAAATACAAAAAAAAAGACCCTTACCTTACACCCAATATTAAACTTGCTTCTCGTTTTGTCATCTTTGGCTCAAAACCACCTTTATAATAATTGGAAAAACTCTGCCAAGAGAAAAATAAAACATAATTAAATATGGAATTTCAACAGATTGTAATGTGGATGTTTGTCCTCAGGAAGAACAGTCATTTACTAGTCTGACAAAACTTTTACAGATAGAATATTCAAAATACAATAAAAAATGATGAGATTCTTTGGAAATAGCTACTCCAAGATGTTTATTTTCATTTCAAGATGTTAATGAATTACTCTTACTGGCTTAGGTATCTTGCTGGCATTGGATGCAACTATCTTGCCTGTCTGCAGTGCTACACGACCTAAAAGAAAAAATTAATTAATAATCCATTAAAAATTTAGTACATTAATAAATTTACACAATGGAATATAATTCTGATTTTGTTCACTTTTACAAGTTGTATCTAGAAAAAAAAAATAGTATATGAAATGGCATAAAATGACAGTAACTACAACAGGGGTACTCAATTGGCGGCCGCGAGCCACCTCCTTTCTGCGAGAACAAGCTGAAAATAATATTTTCCGTTAAGCCTGGGTCTAGATTTCTCGCCTTAACAATTTTGCATTCTGTTTTGTCAACTAGGACTATATATTGCCCTCAGCAACGAAAGAAAAGAAATGACAAGCCAAACAGATAACAAAATTTAAGCAATGAAATAGTTGAACAGATAAGAAATATAAACTAAATTAAAATGGAAAAGAAATGGAATGAGGAGGTAAGAGAGAGAGAGATAAAAACTTGGTTGATAAAAAAATTGCTTGAAATTTTAATAATTAAACAATCATAAAAAAAAGGTAAAAAAAAACCCCCATAAAATTAACCTGTTTTTTAACCTATATTTTAATAAATTTCTGATTGTTGATTTGATTGCACAAACATTTTTGATATTTTTTATCTTTTCATTCTGATTTTTGTATAGCGGTTTCTAGCATTCTGCGCTATATAAAAATAAATTTATTATTATTATTACCAGCATAGGCAGCAGCAGCTATCCCAAGCCCAGCAAGGATTAACGTTGATGACTGAAAGAAAAAAAAATATTGTGATCTGAATGAAAGACTTAGGACAGTTTGCCTGGCAGTTCTGAGAACTGGTGTTGAGAGAATTTGACGTTGGAATTCCAAACGACAAGATAATTTGAGCTCAACACATCAGGAGTGCTACTACTACTAGGGGGCCTAGGACCAGCTTTAGGTTATAATACTCTAAGCCTAGGCCAGCCTCCTCTCCAAAGATTGGCAACCCTCTACCTAGGTTAGCCCTAGCAAGGCCTAGGCCCTAGGCCCTACTCTCTAACTACAGTACCTAGGCCTAGCTAAGCTAGGCTTAAGGCATGTGTTAATTAAGGCATGTGTTAATTTTAAGGCCATATTATGGCCTTAAAATTAATAACAACTTCAATTAATAATAAGTTACCATTTATAGGCTTAACCACATTCACTTTGGTTAAAATTGATCAGCATTTAGTTACAGTAGTAATTCACTCTTAACCATTAAAATCTTGCATCACTTTTTGTGGTACGAGGATGTACTGAGCACGTGCACGCCCTCAATGTTATTTAGTTTTTGTTTTGATTTGGTTTTTCTTGACACACGTGATAATAACTAAATAACTGATAAACTAGGCTTGGGCCGCCCAAGTATGCGCACTCTGATTTCATTTAGTCTAGAGCTGCATTGCACATACTACAGCTAGCTGCAGTACGGGAAAGACTATTGGTAATTAATGATGACTTTCTTTAGGACTAACCTACTTAGGCCCCGGGACGTAGGAAGCAGCCTGCCGTGGTAGCCGGAGAGTATCCACACATACACACGCACACACTGCTTGCTCGGTCTTTTTCATGGCTGTGTGTATACCCGGCTGTTAGGATAATTGGCAAATTGGGTATGGAACGCCCGTAGAGCACAATATGTATGTAGTGTACTATTTGACAGCTAATAATCACACAACAGATAATTTGTAGCACCTCCCCTGTATAATTACATTAAATAATGTTGAACCAACTTTGGGAATTGGTCATAATATTTGGTCAGGTTGCTTACTGAATGATCTTAAGAGAATGCATCAGCAAAAACTGGCAGGCACTAATACCCTATTCAGATAAGACTTACCACCGGTTGGGATGTAATTGGTGGTAAACAATTGTGGCAACGACAAGCCAAACCAGTCACTGGTCGCAAAAATCGATTGTTAATTATTATAAAAGTTTATGATTTCAGGCATTTGTCAGGCAAAGATTATCACCAAATCGCAAAAAATTGTTGTTTTAACATTAAAAATTGGGAAAATAACAGCATAGCATGATGTCTAGTTATATAAATGTTAGTTTAGTGCAATAAAATAGATTTTAAAAATTTTGGCATTTCAGCATGTTTTGGCCATTATCTCTGAACATGATTTGCGACGAGTGACTGGTTTGGCTTGTCTTTGCCACAATTGTAATCCAAATTGTTTGCAACCATTAGCAAAACTTCGACAGCATTCAGACACCTTTTCACTTTGATACTTTACATCACTAGCAACGATATAGGTCGTCCTGTTTGTTTGACCTCAGCCAATCAGTGCCTGTGGAATCCATTGCAATCAGATTCCGTGGTAATCAGGAGTAATAAAGATTGTAGCGCCCAATCGCAACGGGTAACAATTGCGAAATCGATTACTTATCGACTACTATTGGTGAGCTTTGACAATTTTACTTTGCGATTGGGTGTCGCAATTGCTACAACCGATCGCAATGCGAAGCTAGTCTGAATGGGGTATAACTGTAATTTGATTATTTTGTTGTAGAATTCTAATGCATAGGCCACAGGCAATTCCTTGGCTTGCTTACCAAGCTTCACGATGTTACACAACTTCATCACCATGCTACTGTGTGAAGCAATCAGTGAGGGTGAGATTTGCTCCAAGTCCGACCGGCATGATGCACTTGGGTGGCTTACGTACTGCCCTCTATAATTATATCTATGCAAAATCTTTTGGTGGAAAATTTATTTTGCGCATAGAGGACACAGATCAAGTAAGTTGGCGTCTGTTGCATTTATTATGATAAACATTAATTGTATATTATTACTTTTTACTGTACATCAATTAATATTTTCCTTTATTGTGATTTATAGAATATTTTTTGTAGTATTTAATGTATGTATTGAAATGTAAATTTCTTTTCTAGTACATTGAGTTATGCATACAAAAGCAATTATATTCATATAAGTAAGACTACCCCAGCTAGCAGTATTACAATTATAAGAATGTTATAATAATGTTACAGTTTGGTATATTAAAAGCTTTATTTCGTAGAACCATAAGTATGTACTTATAACTTTTCACAACGCCATAACATTTGAATGTTCCCACAACTTGGTGTAAACATTATTTCGTGACACAACAAACCACAACGTTAGCGAATGTTATAAGAAAAATTTGTGTTTGCTGGGACTTCATTAAATTTCTATTATATGTACAATTATTTTTGTGGTTTTTATGATTTTCAGGGCAGACTTGTTGAAGGTGCTGTTGACAATATTGAGCAAACTATAACATGGGCAGGAATGCCTCCAGATGAAGGTAAATGTAAAGTGGCGTGTTCAAGATTTTTATAAGGGCAAGCTGAAGTATTTCCTGTACGACATCCACTAAACTTTACACAGAGCATAACATTGGCTTTGACTACACTATTTTTGGTTGTGAACGGCTAAATTTTATTTATTAAACTTAGCCATTTATACTAAAAATTTTTTGCCATTGAGTGTATTGTATAATTGGCTTTGATGAACAAATTTATAGTACAATTTTAAATACTTAAATTTCAGGACCATCTGTTGGAGGCTCATATGGACCTTATGTACAGGTAATATTATTTTATCCATTTCAAAAGGAAATAACAGTACATGTGTTTATTCAATTAATGCATCACCTCATTGTATATAAAATTATTCACTCTAGGAAGTGAACGATTTGAGGGTGAAGATTTTTTTCCGATTTTGAACAAAAAATTAAACATAAATTCTAACAACTTTTGTTTTAATTTGCTAAGCTGCAAGACAAACGTAGTGGAGTGTTTTGGAAGTGATTTTAAAAATGTAAAATGTGAATTTATAAGCTCCAAAATGGTATTTATATACAAAGATTGATTTATCCAAAAGATGTGCAATATACAAAAATCCTACTGTTAACAGTATATGTTATAAGTATATAGTACAAAGATATAAACAAATTTTTGAGGGCAAAGTAGACCACAAATATACTTGCACGTCTTCAGATGGTCATGTTATAAATTTATTTCATGTTTTTTAGTTGTGAAGACTTCATATCATATCTTTAATGAAAAATTATTTATGTTTTCAGTCAAAAAGACTTCATATCTATAATGAGAATATCAACATTCTTTTGCAGGTAAGTTTTAATACAGGTTTTCTGTGGTCTTTAGCAGCTTTGGTTCTAATTAGAATAATAAAGATAAAAGACATTTGTTAATTTTAGACCACAGAAAAGTGGTCTTTAAGTGGAGGTGCTCTTTAATTGGAAGGGTCTTTAATTAGAGGGAGACCTGTATTTGTTGTAAAGCGTCAATAAATGCATACCTTTAAATTTTATTTTCTGATTTTCTGTAAATAGTTTATTACAAAGACCATGAATACATGATGATAGAAAGGCCCAAGTAGTTGCCATTTGTTATAAAGTTTTGATTATGCATCCACTTTTGAATTTTATTTTCTTTAATAGCTTATAATAAAGACTAATACATGATGTTTTATAAGGTTGAGTTTTCAATTTTAACTTTGGCTAAAAATAGCAACCTTACAACAACCTCATAACACATAAAAGCGCTAGGGCAATTAATATGCATAGAAAACGAAATAAATAAAGCAAAATTTTACAAATGATTCATATTCCAAAATATTGAGGTTAACCAGAGATGTTTAAATTTATTAGAATGGAACAGCTTACAGATGCTTCTGTTCACCTCAACGACTGAATCTTTTAAGAAAAGAGGCTTTGAGACACAGACAGGTGCCTCGGTATGATAACCGGTGCAGATCACTTTCTGAAGACCAGGTGCAACGGAAAATGAATGCTGGTGAGATGTATGTTGTCAGATTCAAGGTAAGGCTTTTGTAAAGTATATAAATAGTATCAATTTGAACCTGATAATTGTGGACTTGGGAATGCTATCAAGGAGTGCAGAATTGCAAGAGGTCCGAATGTTGAGGATTCCTTGAAACGGAATCCTATCTCTAGAAGTACTACCACGTACTAGAGGGTGCCTTCAAAAGAACGTAGAAGACGTTTGTAACAAACACATGCTGCTTCAATAGAACGAATGTTCATGCTTCGCACTCTGTTCAAATTGTAATAGGGTGCCCCCTATCTTGTAGTAATACTTTGTTTTTCGTTTCATTGCTTGCATGAAATATCAAGACAGTCAGACCTCTTGCTATTCTACTGTATACTCTTTGGTGCTATAAGCAAAATGACGAAAAGCGATAGAGGTGAAAGTAGATTATCATGACCACATTTCTTGTCTCTGGGCAAACTTTATAGGCTTTTGTCCTTTCATTAACATTGAAAAGGTCATCTGATATTCAGGAACTTCTTAAATATTAATTTGTATAATGTGATACTTTACAAACTAAATCCCATGACACAGTATAAAGGAGTGGAAATATTTTTTTTGGCCACAAGGAAAAAATGCTGATGTCAACTGGATTTGAACCCATGACACTGGATATGGAAAACAAGCACCTTAAACCAGAAAGTACTGTACGCATTTGTACTGGCTTATGCATATTGTTTGGAAAGTTTGCAAACATTTGATTTGTACAAAATTATAATTTCATAAATTTGGCATTTCAGATAAATTGTGTGATTTTAATTTTTAGTTGAATGAAGAAGTTGAGTATTTTGAGGACCTTGTTTATGGACGAACAAAACATGAAACTCACACCATAGAAGGAGACCCAGTAAGTTTTTGAATAGTTTCATTAAAGTTAATTAAAAAGTTGGACCACCGATGGTCAATCCCACAACCCCCACACCATGGAAGGCAATCAACTAATGGATCTTGGAAATGATTTAATTGATTCACGGAAGAAGGTGGTTGATCACATTTGGTAAACTCCAAAATTGCACTTTATTAATGGAAGGCCTAATAAACAGAGCGCAATCTAAAGCATTTAGGATGTTTAAATAAAAGATTTTTTAGATACTAGCATTATTTTTGGGTTCTATTCAGGTGTTGCTAAAGTCAGACAAGTTTCCCACCTATCATTTTGCGAATGTTGTAGACGATCATTTGATGAACATCACACACGTACTACGTGGTATGGTAAGTTTATGCAGTTTCTCTGTATATACAGTACATAACTATTTGAATTCATGCCTCTTGGATTGGAAATCAAGCATCTTAAACCCAGTATCATGTCAAGAAGTATTGTCAGTGGTGAGGAGTGCTATTGGCGGATGATCTGAAAGTCTGGGGAAAGGCTAGTTGGAGAATGAGTGATATATGGCAATTTTTAACTACTTCAGCGTAAACGTTTTGCGCAGAAAATTGTGCCTAAACCTCTCAAATTAAAACGTCCATTATTATTAACAATATTACAGCATGGAGGAAAAACTAATTCCTCCATGATTACAGTATAACATCGTCAACCAATTTTTAATTTCTAGGAATGGTTGACATCGACTTCAAAGCATCTCCTTATTTATAAAGCCTTTGAGTGGACGCCACCAACCTTTGCACACCTGCCACTTCTCATGAACAAGTGAGTCACACTGCATTGTACAGCAAGTACCATGATAATGCTCATTTTTTAACATTTTATTACATATTTCCACTTTTATTGAAAAAAGTTAATCCTTAAAACTAAACTCGTAGGCAATAAGATATTCACGGCCACCTAATTTTTTCTTATCTTCTCTAAAGCTGGGCACATGCACTGCTTCAGTCCACCGTCAGCGGACAAATTTGTCTTTGTATCGTTGTCTGCTGATGTTGATGGCAGATTGTCATTGAAATCTTGTCTTGTGATGCGTCATCACTTTGCGGTGTTTATAGAATCTGTGAAATATGCCTGGAAATAAAGTGTGCCTGGCTTTATTACATGGCTTGACTGACGGAATGCTAGGATATTACTGTATTCATGATTCTACAATTAATGTCATAACTACCTATTTTATCCCATAAAGAACTGTTCAATTTTACAATAATGTTAATAACTTCACTCATTGATGTTTAAATATTTTTGTTTTCATGTTACAGAGATGGAAGTAAGTTGTCAAAAAGGCAAGGAGATATATTTGTAGAGAAATTTAAAGTAAGCCAGTCTTGTGTATAGTATACCTGTATTCATACATTTTATCTGTACAACCAATCCATATACAATGCCTACATTTTTATGGACTTCCCAAAAGTACTGTCAGAAATACCACCTTATATCTACCAAGTTCCGCACATGAAATTTTAATTGCACAACCTATACATTCTTGAAATTATAATATACACCCCATCAGTTGGTAAAATACAATACATTATTTAAATACTTATGTGTAGACTTCACTAGAAGAAGTCTACCGCTGATTGTGCAAAACATCAAACAACATTTTTTAACTTATGGCACCACTACCCTATTTAGCCTACAAGCAACCTTTCATTTCTATGTATGCCTAGTGTTATACCTGCATTTTAATTCAGTGTCAACAATAATAATCTCCATTAATTGCATGGACTATAACTATACTAATAGCTTGGTGTTGACAGGTTAAAGTGCATACTTGATGGAATTCATGTTTTTATCTGGTAGGATTCAGGATTTTTACCAGAGGCACTGTTAAACTTTATAACCTCTTGTGGGTCTGGTTATCAAGATAACAAAAGCATTAAAGATCTGAACGAACTCATTAAACAGGTAGGAATACTTTTAGCAACATCTTTGTTTACTTTATAAAAAAAACTATAAGTGTTTAACATTCTGTATAAAAGAGTTACATGTCTTTTAAAACTATTTTATGGAATTATTTATTCAATATGGTGTAAAATTGCAAGTAGCACAGGAAAATAGCTAACAGCTAATATAGAAAAAAATATAAGTGTTTAACATTCTGTATTGAAGAGTTACATGTCTTTTAAACATATTTTAAGGAATTATTTATTCAATATGGTGCAAAATTGCAAGTAGCACAGGACAATAGCTAATAGCTAATATTCACAAAATTTAAATACATATATTTTGTTTTTTAATATGCCTAAATCATTACATCATTTAAAATCAATCAACAACTGTGTGAAAGTCTTTAAAAAGGACTACTAGTCTTATTTTTTTAAACAATTTTTATTGATAATGATGATATCAGTTACAACTCAATTGTGTAGTTTCAGCTTTATTTTCCACTCTATTTAATTTCATTTTAGTTTTCATCGATATTTTTTTTTCAAACAGTTTTCTATAGACAAAGTCACCACTCATTCTGCAACACTTGATATGGAGCAACTTTTGAGAATCAATCGAGGTCACATATGTCAAAAGTTGATAGATGATAAAGAGCAACACAATTTGATTAAAGAATTGAAAGCTGTCATTCATAAAAAATTGGGGAATAGGTATGATGCATTCAATAGTAAGAATTTGCCTTCATAAAAATTCTTCTGGGTGTTATTGTCACAGAGGGGTCTACACTAGGGTGGGATATATGAGATGTGCCTAGACCAGGTGGAGCCAAACCAGGTGGGACGAGTATTAAAAATTTGAATACTCGTCCCACCAATTTAATTGGCTCAACCATGATAGTTTGGAAGTGAGCATGAACCCCTATTGGGAAATTTGGAAGCCTCGTCAGAGATCTTGGACCCTTGTCATGTGTGTGGATTGTAAAATTGGGCAGGAAATAAACCCAGTAACCTATTCCAAACATGGCAGGCACTGACATATCTTCTCTTTTTTTAGAATATCAACCAGCCAAGTTCTCAACCTTAATGAAGATTATTTACTGAAAGTGCTACAATTCCGCAAGGTAATAAATAACAAAGCGATAATGGTTATACTCTGATATATGTGGGATGGGTGAATATTGCCATCAAACCCTTAGTTGTTAATATATTGAAATACTGTATATTATAATAAATGTGATTTATTCAAGAACAATTAAAACATATTTTTCAAAAAAGAGGAGATTCAAAATGTACTGAACATGTGATTTATGTAGCGTTAAACACTGTCTTGTAATTCTTCATGAGGCTATTTTGCATCAAAATGGTATTCTACAATTAAATATTGATAGTTTTTGGTCTCTCCGAACATTACTATACCAGACCATATGTCATACTTGCCATTTTTATCAATACAAAAACAATTGTCATATTACACTATGCTAAAAACGACAGCAATGAAAACTGTCATAAATGACAACTACAAGGATGCCATAACATACAATAACATAGACTGCCATACAAAAAAAGAGGGGATTCAAAATGTACTGAACATGATTGATTTATGTAGCATTACACACTGTCTTGTAATTCTTCATGAGGCTATTTTACATCAAAATGGCATTCTACAATTAAATATAGATACTTTTTGGTCTCTCTGAACATTACCATACCATATGTCATAATTGCCATTTTTATCAATACAAAAACAATTGTCATATTACACCATGCTATAAAAATTTTATAAAAGATGACCACAAAAACTGCAGTAGATGATTACCAAGTGACATGGACCATCAAAAAAACCATCACAGTGATTGTTGAGGAAGACAACCACTAGGACTGCCATGAAAGACAACACTAAAGTCTGCCATAAAAAATAACTACAATGACTGCTATAAAAAACAACAATGAAAACTTTCATAAATGTCAATCACAAGAACTGTCATACAAGACAACCACAAGTACTGCCATCAAAGACAGCCTCAAGGACTGCCATACAAGACAACTAAAGGGACTGCCATAAAAGACATCCACAAGGACTGCCATACAAAACAACCACAAGGACTTCCATAACAGACAACCACAAGGACTGCCATAAAAGACAACCACAAGAACTGCCATACAAGACAGCCTCATGGACTGCCAAAAAAGAGAAACACAAGGACTGCTATAAAGGACAACAACTAAGACTGCGAAGAAAGACAACAACCTTACCTTGCATATCTGCCTCGCGTCATGTTGCCACATAAGGCCTCCACAAAATGCCTTCATCTATCCCTGTCTGCTGCTGCCCTTGCTGTTCCCCATGATGTCCATCCCACCTTGGTTCTCTCCTTTTCTACCATCTGTGTCTGTGTCTTTTTAGGTCTTCCCCATTTCCTTCTTCCTTTGGGTATCCATTTCAATGCAACATTGCAGTCTTTCTCTTGATCTTGTCTCAACATATGCCCTAAACATTTCCATCTCTTATTTTTGATCTCTTTGTTTATTTGTTTTGTATTTGTTCTTTTCATCACTTCTTCATTTTTCACTCTTTTTTGCCATTTGATGAAAAAGACAACAAGGGCTGTTATAAAAGACAACTAACAGCATTGCCATAAATGGCAATCACACTGAATGCCATATATATAGATAACCACAGGACTGCAATAAATGACAACCATGAGGACTATCTAGGAAGACAATCACCAAGGTTGCCATAAATGTCATCCACAAGGACTGACTGAAAATCTGTCACAAGGACTGCCATTAAAAGAATACAGTATATAAGAAAGCATACTGTGCATTCATAATGGTTGTCATATATGACCAACTAATCACAAGTGATACTTTGATGTTTTGCAGGATCACATTAGCAAGCTTGAGGATTTAGTGGCAGATGAGTACATGTGGATTCAACCAAACTTGTCACTACACCATTTTACTAATGTTTCACGGGAAGCTGGTAAGATTCATTATAGTATTGTGTACTAAAGGTATCAGAATACTGACTGTGACAGCTTAGATTTTCTTGTTTTGGGATTTAAGTCAAATTTCCAACACTAGATGTGTGCTTTATTGTGTTCTCCTGTGACTTATTTATTGTCCTTGTGCCAAACTGACGTATCATCATGTGTTCATATTAATGTCTCCACATGTCCGAAACTGATGTTCTTTTATCCACATGTAAATTCTTATGTGCTTGTGTCAACGTATGATTATTTATTTTGCTAGCTGTGTTCACAATTTTGTACTTTGTACTTTGTACTCATTTACAGAGAAAATTATTAGCATGGTGGAAGCAGATTTTCAGTGCTGTGATAAAGAACTTTTTCGAGAAGATGAGTTAGCAAAGAGGTTAAAATCAATTTCACAACGAATTGCCAACTTGAAACCTGGAGAGTTCTGGAAAACATTGCGGTTTGCATTGAGTGGAATTACGGTATGTAACAATTATGTACATATGCATTAGAAAAATCACAAAGAAACAAGGTAGATAATGCAATGAATACATATACTGTAATTGAAATCCAACAGAACAGGAATCTCACCAAGCATACTAAATCAACTTCCATCGATCTCAAGCGGAGACCTTTCACATACACCTTTCACATACACAGCTAATATAAACAATATATAGGAAAGGCTTTGTTAGGGTTCTTATTACTGTATGTTATGTGAGCAGACCCTTAGATTAGATACAAACCAGCTTATCCTCATTTCTTTTATATAATTGTTTTAATTGTAATTTGTCCAAATTTATAAGCAAGTGAAACGAAAGCTACAATTCTTCACTTCTGTTAATAATGCCATTTTTCAACTAATTTCAATTGATCTTCTTTTTAAGGATGGTCCAAGTCTTAAGGAGATGTTTACAATACTTGGCAAAGAGGAAAGTTTACGAAGGCTACAAGCTGCTGCAGCTTTGTTTAAAGACAGTTAATGCATGTGCCTGCTGCAATCCACACCCTGAGTAATGTCTAATGATACGTTTACAGTATAACATTGAGGAGTGAAGCTGTACTATGAAATCTGCTTCTCCAGCCTCTTAAGCAGTAGTGCTGAGAGGGTGGTGCAGAAAGTGGCTCCTAGGGGATTGGGCCACTATGGTGAAAAATATAGACAAATCTAATTATTGTATAGATAAATATGTGATGACAAAATTTCATCTATTAGACTATAATCATTTAAGTTTAGTCATCTAAAGGTCTACAGCTTGTATAAGAGCACTTGCCAATAGAAAATACCACCCTGTTAAATATTATATGTTTAAATAGATGTTTGTTTCAATTGTAAATATTGCACTTAATATTGAATAAACAATAATGTTGAAACTTGAATGGTTTTCCTGCTTATGTTTGATATCAAGAAAACTTATGCATTCGCATTACTGTATAACATAAGAATGTTTTTTTATTTAAGGTAATTCTCCAAGATATTGACACAAAACGACAGCGTAAACGTATGCAAGTTTGCTTGCTTGCGGGACAAGCTCATGCTTCTGGCTATGCGTTCTTATATTATTAATAATAATAATAGTTGGCCTTCAACAATTGATTTACAGTGCATTTTTTCCATTTTAGCCAATTTTTTTGCCTACCACGGTAGTGCGATGCCAGCGTTACAGCTAGGCCAATGTGATCCCTGAAAGGGGTCTAATCATGCAAAAAACCTCTGTGCTTGGTGATTGATTTTTTTTAGTTTGATATTGTGACAGTGTGAATTACAATACTGTATTGTGATTGTTCAATTGTTAAGTTCCATTAACGCTCCTGAAAGGTTCATTGCCATATGCAATGGCGGATTCAAGGTGGTCAAAACGGCCCGCAACCCCCCACCCCCCAAACTCCTAAAGTTTGAAAATTTAAAATAAAAAAGAAAAAAGAAAAAGAGAGTGTAATTTTTGGCCATTTAGAGGTGTCCTAATCGTAAATATTCTTACTTCAACCCAGCAGCTAACAAGTTGGTGACGGGCCCAGTTTCAAGATAATTGCCGGGCCCAGATAAAAAGAACTTGATTGAAGACAAACTTGGTAGGGTTTACTTAGGCAAAACTCGAACTCCTAATGCCAACAATGCATTCTGAAATTCTTTAAAACGGATACGGCATTTTATAGAGCATAAATATCATGGGCGCAGATCATGGGGACCTGTAGGACACGCCTCCCCCACCCCACCACATGTTTTTAAGGGGGCGTTGGTCCTCCCCACTTTCCGCAATGTAATTTCTTATTAAGAAGATGCCTGGAAGTTGTTGAAATAAACTGCATAAGTGACCCAGGTTTCAACGAAAGAGCACTGTACAGCCAGAGTACACCTTATTTCAAATAGCAAGATACGGTATCTCTGCCCACAAACATCTAAATTACCTTTCATACACGACTCGCAGGCCCGTATTCACAGGGGGGTTTTATGGTTCGGGAGAACCCCCATTTTCTAGCAAAATCCCTCTTTTCTGGCGAAACCCCCTCTTTAAATTTCCCAAATGAGTCCTTCAACCCAACTAATGCACTGCAGACCCACCCAGACAGACATTTTCCAAACATATCTGCTTTTATAGCATTATTTAGACCCATAAAGCACAAAAATCCTCTTGCTTTTGGGGTTTCGCCGACCGCACCGGTGCTTCGACTGCGGACCTCACGCCCAGAAAACCCTCCCTTGGAAGAACCTGGCTACGGGCTTGACAGTGCACGTGCCTTTATAATAATTTGAGAAGCATGAGAAAATTAATACTTAAAAGACAATTAAGTTATATTTTCTATGGTATATCACAGCGAATAATTAAATCGATGAGGATGAATTTTACTATGAGAGTTTCGTTTCCGGAAATCTGGAGGTAATTTCCCCAAAATTTTCCAACCTCAGCCACACCATAGTTGGGGCTGAGGTGGGAACATTTTTGATGTTTACTCACGGCTTTTGAAGTAGGAAAAGTGAATACATGTTTTTAAGTTTAATTTTCTATGGTACATCACACGTTAGTTAGATCTATGTGGTTGCTGAAAATCGCTGATCACGAGAAATTTGCTGGTGCTTCATTTTGACTATATAATAGTGATATGATGATGATGAAACCTCAGTCCCAACCATGGTGGAGTTGAGGTGAGTGTCGTCTGACGAAATATCCAACCCCCCTTCTTCACCTTCCAAAAGAGATCTGCGCCCTTGATAAGTGTCTATAAATTATTCGAAAACACATTCAAGTATATTTGAGAACAAAGTATAGTCAAATCATATAGGCCTATATTTTATCGTTTAGGTTGAGACGAATTTCATGAGTCTGATAAAGTATAATACAGTATTGATATATTGAATGCTTGCGGTACACCACGTGTAGAAATATGCTTTTTCAAAAAAATATTTTAGTGCATCGTACCGTAGTAGGTAGCAAAATACCTAATGGAAGAAAATAACCTTGATTGTATTCAACAGATACGAAGCTGTTCAAAGCATTTATTCTTTTTTATATTTTTTTTGTAAAAAGTTATCCTGATTGCAGTGTTTGGTGGCACGTAATAGGTAAGTTGTAATGAATATAGATAATAGGCCAAATTATAGAATCTAAAACCTAATATTACTGAAGGGTCCTTTTAAAGTTTAAATAGGATATTTTTTAAGTTATACTTTTAGTTCATTAGACCTATTGAACGAACCCCCAGTGCTGTGCACTGACTGCAGTGCCAATACCTACGCCACTGGACCTGAGTATTATTAGTAGTTACGTAAAGTTTGTTATGCACTGTATCATGCGCTATAGAAGTGGAAGACCGTGTATTGGAAATATCCCTCTCTGATAGGGCCTACAGTACAATCAGTGTAAAAGTGTAAAGTATAGGATAGTGTGGATTTAAACATTGACCTGATGGTAATGTTCAAAATAAGTGTCAAGGAAAGTAAGTATGATTGTCAGAAAAAGGGTCAATATTTTATTTTTATTTCTCACCCTGACCTTCGCCTGGGCGACTGGGCGAAAGTCTGCACCCCCCCCCCTGAACGCCCCCACCCCCCCCCCACAAATGACCAGGGCCCCAGTGCTTTGCAATGGCTGCGCTGCATATACCTACACCACTGCTTCAGCCCAAACCATGGTGGTCTGGACCATCCATCTGTGAATTTCTCTTCCTGACCCTATCTCTTTCAATTTCCAGGATCCGCCACTGGTACACATAGGCCTAGTGCAGGTAATTGATCAGCCACAATCACACCCAGGCCTTAAGTGTAACATAGAACCTGCTAGATCAACAACCGAATGCTTCCCTCTGATTTACTCACTACACCAAGAGCAACAATACCATATGCCAGGACCATATGCCCCATTTTGTCTGTCATAATGCAACCAATAGAAACAAAGTGATTGGGTAGGCCTATGTTTGTCAATGTTTTTGATTATCAGTATAATTAATGTACGTAATTCATTAAAAAAAAAATTAGTATTGTGATACGTTGACTGGCTTAAATACGAATGAGTGCGTGAATAAGTGTACACGTACACGTAAACACACCAACTGCAATATTGTACACGACATTTGAAAAGACAGCATAAATTGCATTGCATTCCTTTACACAATAGCCTATTAGACTCACTAGATTGTACTGTTTACTTTACTGTCGTGTAATTTATTAATTACTAATTTACCTTTACACACCTGGCGGTTCTCAGCAGTAACAACAGATACTTAACGGGTGCTGCTACTTTGCAAATGGAGAGACTGCTATACTAAGTTGAATTCAAACATATTATTATATTTATTATCTATTGGAGCATTTCAATGAACCAACATTGGTATTAGCCGAAATATGGTGATTTCTACAACTTTTGTTGACCTTTAAAATACGTTGTTCTGGCCATCCCATTCAATATTTTTTCACTCGACACTCTAGATGACATACTGTACTGTTTTATGGTCTTTTGGACATACTGGTGTTGTATAGATATTCAAGAACAATATTTCAATGGCTGTGGTAAGTTGCTTTACTGACAATATTTCAAGAATTAAAAGGTGTTCCATCTGTTCATGGAGGAATTTATTCCTCCATGATCTGTTAGATGTTATAAAAAACAATACATTTTATTTGATAATACATTGATTGCATTTAATGTTACACAATATGTCATCAGCCAATGTAGGCCCTAATGGTTTAGTATTTGTAGGGAACAGTTAACTGTTCCCTGCAAAGTTACATTTCACTGTTCCCTGGTATTTGTAAAATAATGGATAATAAAAATGGATTGGATATTTTTATATACAGCATAGTATATTAATGTATACAAATTGAAGGCTGCATTGGCAAACATGAACAGAACAAAAACACAAAAGAACTCTGGAGAGATGGTAATTGGTAATATGTTACCAAGAATATTTATTAACATTTATCCTTCACCCTCCACACCCCCTTTTCTCGTGCCGTTCCACCCTCCATGTAAGATGTTTTGTAATAACCAGTCACAACCTAATAGAATATTACAAAATTAGGCTATTATTAAAACGTTCGTGGCCGCCCCTCCCACACCTTTTATAATAAAGAAAAAAGAAATAAAAAAAAGAAATAATTTATCGCTCAAAACGCCTCAGAGGTTATTTTCGGGCGTCTAGAAAGCAACATTAGCGGGGACATTCCCCCGGACTCCCTAAGGTAGTGTTGTTTCGATCGGCCCACTTTAGGCCACCCCACCCACTTTTTGAAATATCTATGGATCCGTCTCTGATATTGGTGTTAAGATATAACGTTATCTTTTTACCGTATGCTCCATTTCCTAGGCGTATTCATGGTTTAACAACATGGGAAGCAAAGCCAAACGACAACCGGCCTTTGTTGTTATCCGTACTCATCTGGAAAACGAAATTAAATTGAGAAATCGATCATTTATCTGTAATTTCTTGGCAAGAAAACGACAACTTTTCTCAACAGTCAATACGTGGGTCAAGTGGACGTTGTGGTTTGTTTTTTCTGGTAATTATACTTAATATTTTGTATTAAAAAAAAAGATAGAAACTTAATCGGAAAAATACAAGTAAACTACAAGAAAGTTAAGACACCTCGTAATCATTACCAGACCCCAGAGATTACAACATCAAAACATAGTTATTGCTTAAGTACGGTACTTAATTAATAATTTAGACCAGACCAATGCCTATAAATACGTATTTCTGTACGAAATACGTGCATTTACGGACTACAGTTCTGTCTGCAGTATGCAAACTCTTGAACAATATTATTAACGACAGAGTTATTCAACATCGACTATTGAACCATATAGAGTACCTACTGTCTTACACGCTTATATTGAATAATTGTTACGATACTTTGCGTTAGTGGAAAAGAAATATTGTATTATATCAATGACTGTATCGGAAATAGTAAGCAATATACATACTGTAATGACACAAATTCAGATTCTTTTTTTTTTATCAAGGGATCATATTGTTTTGATTGCCATTAATAACTTATTCTTGGATAAATCACAAACGTAGGCTTATTTGTGTACATGCATATCGTCGATGCATTCGAATATTATGGCTTATGTATTAATATAGTATCAAAATATAAACTGTTATTACAAAAGCTATCACAATTCAATAAGCAATAAGGAGGTCCTGGTTAAATATTATCTAGTGTTTACGTTCGTACAATAAACAAAACAATTAAATAAAAAATGCTGGCAAAACAGTTGGTATTAAAGCATAGTTGAGCATCTTCAGAAAACAATGTAAGCCTATTTATTACGTAATAAGGATTAATAAATATCACGTAGGCTGTCCCTGAGGATCCTAAACTGTACTCTTTAATCATTTCACAACACAACCATATCTGATAAGGTATACTCGATATATTATTCAAAACATAAGGAATTTTACACAAAATTATTGCTTTCCACCAAAGATAAACAGAAAAATATTCAAGATGACCTTAAAAACTGGAATACTGAAAGTTATTCCGGGAAGGTGTTTCTATCAATAATTATAATCTAATTTGCATATCATGCCTATGATAAATCTTAACCTATTGATTTAACAAGAAGTACAGAAATAATCCGATGGCAGCTAACTACAAGAATACAATCAATCAATGAAATGAAAAGTATTTTAAAATCAGAAATTACTGAACGTTTTTTGTTTTTAAACAGGTTTAGGTCTTTCTGTAGTGCCATCACATCATGAGATAGTAACCTATGGTAAGCTACTAAGCCATGAGTTTATCAACGATCATTTAAGAAAAGAAGGATTAATGTGTCATAACAGACTTCCCGTTCCCGCTACCGATGTTTCGCGCAAACTAAAAAGTGTTGGTAGCGAACTCGTCAAATCCTACCCTGGTCTTTACAGAGACGTTTCCAAGCAACTCAACATCACAATGACAATGGAGACAGAGGTAGCTGAGATTTTCTTTTCCATAGTAAACGAACTATTCAAAGATGGAATAACATGGGCAAGAATTGTGGCAATGTTTTGTATAGCAGCATCGCTCTCGCAGGATTGTTTACAATACGGAAACGGACTCGCAATTAATGACATTGTTCAAAGCATGACGTTTATCATCGATACTAAACTGGGTACCTGGATCGCGCAACATGGTGGATGGGTAAGTGTAGTGAAAAAGTTTAACAATAACAGCAAAATCATCAACATCAGCAGGAACAACAAGATGATGATGATAGTGATGTTGATGAGGAGGAGGATGGTGATGATAATGATGTGGATGATGACGATCATGATGATGATCATGAGAATGATGATGCTGATGACGTAGGCGATGACTATGCCTAACATAACGACGAGGATGATGATTATGATGATGATAGTGATGGTTGGTGATGAGGATGATTATTATAATGATGACTGTCGATGGTGATGATGTCGCTGGTGATTACTGTGACGATGATAAATAGGCATTTTGTTTATTTTGTTTCCAATGCAAATGAAATTTCAATACAGTTAGTAACCGCCGACAGAACCAAACAATTTAAGCCCTTTAGGGGCGACATCAACACCCACTTTTGTGGTTTATAAACGTTAATTATTAGCTCATAGTTCACAGCTGGTCACGTATATAGGCCTATTCACAGCTTTGACGCTTATATTAAACAGCATTATTTTGCATAAACTTCACCGTTAGCTTATTATTGTGTCATTTACGAGATATTTTCACTGATCTTTGCAGGATGATTTCAGCCGTCATTTCCGGAGTCCCCATGAGACTGACGCTCTCTGGGTTATGATGGTAGTCACGTGTGCCTCTGTTGCATTGGTTCTGATAATTTTCACTGATATCCTTGCATCGTAATATCAATAATATTAATAACATCTTTGTCACCCACCACTAAGAAGTGTGTACCCTTAAGACGAACTTTCTGACTTTTGCTCAGTAGATCACTGTTCATGAAAGTTGGAATATCAATATCCATAAATTTGCGAACACCCGCTCTCTTTTCCCACATCAACTCCGTCATCAGAAACGCTTTTCAGGTTAAGTGCAATGCCTTGGATTTTTTTTTAAATGTTGAGTATGGCACTATATTTAATTATCATATTCATTGACATTGTTTGATCGATTCTTATAAATCTTAAGTAATAAACAAGAGAAGACAATTGTGAATATGCCTATGTTCTTTCCTATTATAGTTGCGCTTAAAGCTCTATGTGTTGAGTTAATGTGTTCTGTACGGCATATGGACTTGTATGGTTTATAAACATTTTTTTATATAACCATTGTGTGTAACTCGATGTCTACCAAACATTTAGTTCTCAACGTTCTCACGAAATAGTTGTCATACTGGAAACCTCTGATTGAAACCTAGGAGGAGTAGGCTACTAGTCTGTTTGTTACTCAAGCTTTAATAATGTCTTACTAATCAAAATCGGTCCTCTAGGATTAATATTGGAATGTTAAGACCTTGTTATAGGTTGTTTTCTAGCCCAGAAAAAAAAACTATGAAAAAGGACGATTTGCAAGATAATCACTACCGTACCAAGTTAAAGATGAAGGAAAATTTCAAACCAGTTTGCTGATATCGTAATGATCGATGACTTAGAAGTTGCTACTGATGATCCAATATGGTGACGGCAACCGTATGTGCGATTAGTTTTTAATTTAAACATAACAAATTAGCAATCTTTTAATTTAAAAGTGTTGAGTTTATTTATTTTCCAATGTTAATAATGTATGCTTGATAGATAGTGACCTAGTAGGCCTACATAAATTAACCTCTCCTTCCAATATAACCAACCGCAAAAAACAATAGTAGTGGACCATGGTTTTAACTAAATTTTAATTATCAAATATACTATAATTATGCATGTTGCGTGGGTAGACCTAGTCCGAGTGTTCTTAATAATTGTATGAAAGGTCTAGCCTAGGATCTATCTCAGTGTATTCCATTTTCTTCGTTTGTTGGCAAGATATCCTTTTATACTGTTTAGTAAGATCAAACAGGAATTTACAGTAAGCTTGTTGCATAAATGTATTTCGTTATAACTCTCAAGTCTTTCTTCTATTTCTTTTTTGACGATTTAGTGTTTAAATAAAACACTCTATTAACTGCAATGAAGTACTAATTCTCCGTGTCATATGTTGACCCGTATACAGTTAAAAATAGTGCACTTGCAAAATATGCAAGCAAAGTCGGTGTCCTTTGAAAGATATTCACTATTTATTAAAGGTATACAATGGCGCCGTGCCTTATGCCGAGCTTCATGTGGGGACGGGGCGTTATGGTGGATTCAGGGTAAAGGGGATAAGGTTAAAGAGGTGGTGAATGTGAAGTATGTATGGGGATGGGGGTTGTTGTGCGGAGTGTGAAAATCTTATGTGATATTTTTGCGAAAGATATATACTGTAAGACTTTACACGAGATTTCGTCAGTGAGAGCAAACTAACAAATTTCATTTTGTTGAGACTTTAGACGATCTTTTGCTAGACGAATTTGATTTAATTACAATGTTCATAATATTTATTCTACTAAATCCAAATACGAGTGCAATTATAAAGCATATTCCTATTCGTCATCAACAAATACGTTTATATTTGTTTATTATATCCAATAAAAAAAAAAAGAAATACTAAAACGTTATAATTCATTAATAACTATATATATTGATGACATCATTATGAAAATTATAAAATTAATCAGATTTTATGGGCATAAAATATTAGGATATTACCCGAAATATTGTAATAAAAAGAGGGAGTGTGTCTAAATTTATTTCGACAGCGGACAAAATATGCGTTAATCGCACTACACTATTTACATCTTTGGTAAACATGTCATTAACTTTGCAACACAATAATTGTAAATGTTGACAAATTCAGCTAGTCGCTGGTTAAAACACGACGCAGCGTTGTTGCCCCCTATTGTTTGAAATCAAAAGTGTCTTGCAAATGGGCAAAAAGTCAAAGCAGCGTACAATTAAAATCATAGTAAAAAATAATGCGAAAATTTGCAAATTATCAAGATGTTACAATAGGGCTTACAACTCTTCGTTTCATACTCCAAATCAAATTTTGAATCGTGCATATTTTGTTCATGAAACGGCAATTAGGCCCATACACTAAGTTTTTGTCAATCTAACAATTATCCAATAGAGCCTATTTTTTTTTTAAAGAAAGAAAAATGTTTTGATTGCTTAAAATATTATTGCAATGATTGGCATAGTCGCATTGATTGGTAGCTAAAAAATGTTCAGCAAACGTTTGCAAGCATTGCACTCAAAACGCGCTAATCTCATTTTAAAAGGTTAATGAATGTTTTTCAATTTCAGATTAACAATAATTAGGCATACTTAAAGTAAAAGTTAAAATTTTAAATTAAATCAAATTTTTATAGACGTTATTAGAAATAACTCTTTTAGTCCAGTGGTGGTTCAAAATATTTGCCGACAGCTGTCCAACAAATCAGAAAATGGTTAGACAGATTTTATATTTTATATGACCCAACTTTTTGGATTTAGACCACAATTAATAGTATTTATTAGCAATTAAAATAACGTTGTTTGGATCGGCAAATTAATACTACGGGGGTTCTTGCTTGTCCGATGAGGTAGAGAAGTTACCACCTGACCTCCAGCTGGCGCCGCCACATCTCTATTCATGGTTTATATACTCTTTAGCAAAGACAAGGAAGTCATTCATCATTTGTTCATACACCTGCAATCCAACATCTGATAGCCATACGCCATGGAAACCGCCCTCATAGTTCGTTAATTTAACAGGTACCCCTGCTTTTTGCAGCCGATTAGCATACAATATGCCATCATCACGAATTGGATCGTACTCACATGTTGCAACCCATGCCGGAGGCAGACCCCTCATGTCAACCCTTAGCAATGGTGACATGCGCACATCCAATACAATATCCTTTATCTCTTCCCAAAGATGACGGTTGTCTGGATCGGACTGCGGTTTGATGTAATAACGAGTTTGAAAATCGGACTTCAATATGACGTCATGATCAATATACTGCATTAGGTGTGAAGTCTCTCTAAACTCCCGTGATGTTAAGTTACAATTCAGGTAAGCGTCGTAGTAATCCTGTCTAAATTCCCCAAAAATATACAATCCTATAAACATAGCTATATCATGTCTACATAATACACCTTTATTTCCAAATATAGAGTGGTATTGCTGGGCACTAGGTAACTGTAAATCGATTTGCTGAGTGGAGGGATAAATCAATCCCTGAAATAATAGATCTGGTACTGTGGTATCGTCTTTGATAAATTGACTGACAGCAGCGCTCAACAATCCCCCTGCACTATCCCCAGCTACCGCCACTTTGCTGGCGTTCACGTTGTACTGTTTCGCGTTGAGAAGAAACCATTTTGTCACCTTTAATGCGTCTTCAAACGCCGCTGGAAACTTATGCTCTGGTGCTAAACGATAACTGTATACGAAGACAAAATGAAGCAAAGTACAAGATTAAGAACATTACAAAACCTTACATTACTAGTTATAAAATTAATATTGATCATTTATGCCATTGTGCCTAAAATATATTATTACTTTCATATACAGTAGTATTACTCTCATTCTACGTCATACTTTACAGAAAATAATGTGAATGTGAACCTAAAAATCTCACAAATCTATGAAGTGGAAGATTTTCCTTCGTAATAAACAAGAAAAAAAACCATATATCTTGAATAAGTAATTGCCAGAGCGTCTTTCAAATAAATATATGCATAGAATTAAATCCGTAGAGGCCTATATTGGACTACTAAACGTCGTTACTAAAAACGAAGGCTGAATTTTTACCAACAACTTCCAAAGTGCATGACACAGATGCCATCCTATTACGAAACTGGGGGAATTAAGACTTGTGTTCTAATATCCATCAATAGCAGTGCTCCACAAATGTGGAAACAATGGTATAGCAGCCATTGTAAAGAAAGAAAAGAGGCATACAGTAATTCCGTGGTGAGCAAATATAAGTTATCCATAATCATGTTTGAGGTATTAGGAGCGAAATAAGATCCCTTTTAATTACCATCACACATCATACTTCGTACACATAAAAGTTATTCCGCTTATTCCAATCACGCATGGTACTGTATAAGTGAGGAAGAAACCTAAGAATAACAAAATTGACATGGAGTTCCTGAGGTCACAGAGGCCTTTCAAAAAGAACATTACCACCGCTTCTTTCCAAACTCCAATAGTATGGGTTCACTGGAAAAAAAGTCTACATGTTGGAACTTCCTCTTACAGGTTGTTCACAATGTAGCATCTTATCATTCAGCTCATGCAGCAATTGTTACATCAAGAGTGCCTCCAGAGAGTCCATGGGCTCAATATGATTCCTGTTCTATACTGACAACATCTTCTTTCCCCACTCAAAAATGTTAGTATCCTGAAAAGTTAAATGTACTTGTTTGATGGCCTTTAATCTTAAATGTGTCATGACTATTGGCAACAATGCACCTAATGCGAAGTTCCAGATCTGAAATAGTCACGTCCATGAAAACAGCAACAAAACACAAAGGAACGCAACAACTTTTTAGGGACTTTTGGAGTTGCAATGATGAGCTGCAATTTAAGATGACAGAATATATGATTCTCGTTTGTACCCTTCTGGAATCTGCAGCACCATCCTGCTATTTATCTTTAAAAACTATCAAAGTATTGAAAAGGGTTCAGCAACAAGCTACTGTATTCTATAAAAAAGCTGTAACTAGACCTCTAATGAACTGAAATTATATCTAGCCTACTCCAAACCAGATGGAGGCGTAAAATTGTGCATAATAATGCTATCGTTCTGAAGTAATACAAGGCATTAACAAAGGGTCACGATCGTGAAATTTATAGCACACTCTTGTCTCCACCTTCTCTGACTGGAAATTATTAGATGTAGTTTAGATTATCATCGACACCACCATTAAAGACTTTGAAGAGAGTAAAACAATGAACATTCACAACTAGCATTTTTAAAAAAGAAAAGAGTGAAATCTTACATTTCATCTTTGCTCTATAACTACGAACCTTTCATTGCGATATACAACTTCTATAGTATCTTTTTATTCATTGCAGTAGAAATGTTTCTCCATACAAAAGTAATTATCATGTGCTTTATAAATATACATTGCGTGTCCTAATGGAAAAATCGCAAGAGCGTATATCTCATGGCCTCTAACCTCAGTTAGCAGAGCATCTGAACAGTAATCGAAAGCTCTTAAGTTAAAATCCCGACGGGGACAAATAGGCCTACGTCTTTTTCATTTATTTTATATCTAATTTGTGTAATTGTGCCAGAGGTGACTTAATCCCTCAAATACAAAACTTCTTAAATCGAACAGAGTAACTTAAATTAACTTACTCTACAGACGCAACAACAGCTTGCAACTCCTCGCACATGCGTTTTGTAATTCCAAATGTGAATTCTGTGATGTCATAAAATATATGAATACATTTCAATACACACTCACTAAGGGTTCCAGTTTAAACAATAAATGTTTACTTTAAGTATTTATTATCTTTCAAGTCTATTGTACAGGATACAAGGATTACTGTACGTGAGCATTCATTCGAAATGTTCAGAACAAGACCATTATGTAAATTGGTACGCTTATTCTTCGTAAGTGCCTGCCTATTTTAGTTTTGTTTATATTTATATATAAAAATATTTTCTGTCATGAACAAAATGTAAGATTTTAAAACGGGTAGGCCTACCTGGATTTCCAAAAACAAAACCTCCTCCATGAAAATAGACAATGGCTGGCAAAACCTGGTCTTGCACAGGCACTCTCAGCTGAGGTTGAAACAATTTGACAGGGACTCCGTCAAATTCTGTGCTGGTTACCATTACTGAATGATGGTCTCCATCTGGAGGGTGTGGCAAAATGCGAGACACTCTCAATGCCAATGTACCGTCAGAATATTTCGTACTGAAATATAACTGCAGAAATTATTGAAAGTCGATTTAGGATAAATGAATCAAATATCATAAACTAAAGTAAAATGGTGGTTATTGGAAGAGAATAAGCATAATAAGCCACACGGTGGCCTAATGCTGGGAATGGTCGCTATGGTTTTCCGAGACTGGGGCCCTCTTAGGTCCCGGTCGCCAATGCCATTGTGTAATTTTTAGATGTGCTCGATTTAAAAAACATTGTAAATGCGGAACTAAGGATCAGTGGCGTATACATGGGGCGTTTTTGGTGTGGTGCGGCCACACCCCCGCACCCATTCCCCCTAGCCTACGCACCCGGATTGTCCTACAGTCGATTTCACAGACACTTAGGCCTATGCTGTTAGGCCTATGCATCAACAAAGCCCTATTGGATCAGGGTGCTATAGATCGACATTTATTTTGGTTTCAGTATAGGAAAATTAATATTTTTTAGACAACTATATACCATGAACGATGGATTCTTGTTTGTCCGAGGAGTGCAAGACAAAACTGACCGCATAGACAATTAACTTAGCTGACAAACAATCTAAGGTTAGGCCTATGCAAAAACTGATTACTATACTTTCGAGTCCACTCGTAAAATACCTTTTCGGCGCCACCGTTGAAGGAAGGTCATAGTCGTTAAAGAGAACGGTTGTAGAGTGTCGCTCCGCGGGGTGGCGTTCCATATAAATCTTGTTTGCTCTTTGGGCGTTCCATATCTGGCGCTCGATAGTAACTAAAACTACCTCTAACCTGAGACAACTATACATGTGTATATATACAGTAGATGCTATAACCTAGTAACCTGCCACTACCAGGGAACTGTTACCGAAAAAATGTGGTACTCTAGTCCTCCGTAAGATAGGCTTCAAAAACTGTAGGTACCAGGAGCTTGTATTATAGCAACTCTCTGATAATAAATTACTAGGTCAAGCCTATAATAAGCCTAGTAGACCTATATCATAACTTTGTGGTGATGTTGGTTAAAGCAGTTACTTACTAAACTGTGCAATACTCTCAAAGCGATGTGACCTAATCTGAAACGCCATGGGTTCTCAAGATCGTCTGGTACGGGCGTGTAAAAATAAAATGCTGTAGCAAGCCCAATGAACATGAATGCAATTATATACTTGCCCATCTTGTCCCGTGACAATGAGCCAATTCAATGTATAAATAAATATGGCACGCCTCTATAGACTCTAGTTTGATGACCCGGGATACTGATAATGTGTGACATTGCTTCTCTCTAGTGTCAATCAAAGTATATTGCGGACCTATCATATAACAAGAAAAAAGAGTACATATATGTATAAAAAGAGTATATATATA